ATTTTAAAAATGGCGGCTCCCCGCTTATGCAAATGAAGCCCGGGAAATTCAAATCCCGGGCTTCATTTGCAAGTGCGGTATGCCTACATTACCCCGCTAGTTCGAACTAGTGGGGTAGTGTAGACATACCCTCACAGAGTTTCCCAGCCTGTCAGCTAGAGGTGGCTACCTAACAACATGGGCCAGTCTGCACTGATCCTTGATAGAACAGCCAAGGGGCTACTTCAATTTATACTAATGGCATACCGTCACTGAGGAACAGCATAGTGGCATACTATCATGTCCTGCCCCTCTCCCACTTTAGCAGACCCCCCAGCATAAGCTTTCCCAAAGCCATCTTGCCTCCTGCTCTGGGGAAAGAGGATGGCACAAGCGCTAGATGTACCAGCTTTACACCAACTAGGAGCTCCCACCTGCTGAGGGAAGTCCCATTTGTCCAGTTACAACCAGAATCCAGCTCTTTTGCACCATGCAAAGGTTCTGCTCCAGGAATCTCTAGCTTGATACTGTGTATATAACTCAGTCATTTTACAAAAAAGTATGGAACAAAAATCAAAAATCGTTCATGAGCAGGGATCATAGAAGGTTTGCCACAGAAAAATGCAAAAAAGCTCAGAATTTGTATTTTTACAGAGAATCTTTAGTTTTTGCATTTTGTGAAAAAATAAAAACATACTAACAAATACTAAATTTTACAGAAAGTACAAATGTCACTTATTTAATGTGCACAGCCAGCTCCATGCCCCCATGGTGGATTTTTGAATGTACTTTAAATTTACACTGCTAAACATACTCCAATAAACTGCTTCCAGCAAACAGAAGTTACTCAGTACTATGTGGGGGTTCATATTTAATACAGCTCATTTCAGCCTCCAGATGTGAGTAGTTCAAGTTATGAAAGGATGCCAAAAACATTAAAATTCACCCGTAAAAACTGTGTCACTGAATTTGGTAATATGCTGTTCTGTACTGTGTACAGCAATGCTGTGAATTATGTTCAAAGGCAGACAATTGTAGAAAACATGGGAAGTGCTAAACAAACAATGAAAGAAATGAAAATAAGAAACTGGGCAATTGACAACAGTAAAGAAAACTGGATTGGTCCAATGAGTTTATTTTATTATAATGATTGATGGCACTGTGAGGTTTTGAACTTGCTTAAACACTGTAAATACATCAAACAAACCTGGTATTCAACTGATACTTATATATATTGTGGCTAGAGAAACTGAAGTTCAGCATTTCATTTTAAAGCTTCAAAAAATACAGATTTTTATGGGTTTTCTTATTGGAGAATTTTGGGGTTTGTATCATGGAGAACTAGGATCCAGAATCATGAGTCAGATTTTCAAAGACAATTAATTCTCACTGACTGTCAATGGAATTTAGACACCCCAGGATACATCTACACTGCGGAGCAAAATTCAAATTAAGATATGCAGCTTCAGCTACGTCAATTGCGTAGCTTATGTCGAAAAAGCTTAATTCAGCTTTTGGCTCTGTCTACACAGCAGGAAGTCAAAGGAAGAACACTATTCCTTCAACTTTCCTTACTCCTCATGAAATGAGAGTTACAGGAGTCAGAGTAAGAAGTCCTCCATCTCGACATTATTTTGAAATAACAGCTTGCTGTGTAGACTCACACTGTGTTATTTCAAAATAACGTCAGTTATTCTGAAATAATGCTGCTGTGTAAGGGTGCTTTTTAAGTATCAGAGGGGTAGCCGTGTTAGTCTGAATCTGCAAAAGCCGCGAGGAGTCCTGTGGCACCTTATAGACTAACCGAAGTGTTGGAGCATAAGCTTTTGTGGGCAAAACATCTGACGCATGACATTTGTCATGCATCTGACGCATTTCGTGATGCATGACATCTGACGAAGTGGGTCTTTGCCCACGAAAGCTTATGCTCCAACACTTCAGTTAGTCTATAAGGTGCCACAGGACTCCTCGGTGCTTTTGAAAAATCTGTACCCATAGCTAGAAAACTGTTCAGGTCCAAGTTCTAGAATAGGATCAAGTGTTAGAAATGTTCGTGATCAGCAGGTTCTGTTCATAACTTCCTTTAAAAAAAAGTGAAAATTATTCCTCTCAAAACAAGAGGTTTCATTTCTGAGTTTTTTAGATTAACGTATCAAACAGTCTGTTTCCCAACAGCATGCCATACACTGCCTGCCTAGTCATCGATCCTCCTTCTTTCGTTTTTTTAAGGGAAGGAAGCCACACTGCTGATGCAAAGCTTGAACAAGCTGACTACCCCAGAAGAGAAGCTGGACATGTTGTTTAGGAAGTACGCTGAGATGGTTAGTATAACATTTGTTGATTTATGAGGGGGGAAAATCTGTACCTGAAGTGATATACAGGCAGTCCCCGGGTTACGTACAAGATAGGGACTGTAGGTTTGTTCTTAAGTTGAATCTGTATATAAGTCGGAACTGGCATCCAGATTCAGACACTGCTGAAACTGACCGCCAGTTCTGACTTACATACAGAATCAACTTAAGAACCCCAGGCGTCCCCAAGTCAGCTGCTGCTGAAACTGATCAGCAGCTGATTCCAGGAAGCCCGGGGCAGAGCAACTCTGCCTGGGGCTTCCTGTAGTCAGCGCTGGTCAGTT